CAGTAAAAATGTTTGGAAACAGTTAATTCTGTTAAATATAACTTGCAGCTCAGATTCATCCTTTATAGAAGGTGCCGCTCTGACTGTGCAGTATTAAAGGCTTGAGTGATGAAACGTTTGCATCTTTTACTCGAATGTTTGATTGATAGTTGGGAGTTCAAAGCTACAATTTTCAAGCCGAGTTATCATTATGCGATGTTCTGGTTATGAATACACCCATTTTGTTTTTATTTATTATCATTATAAAATGGAGATCTGTAATATTTACATTCCGAAAGAATCAAGGCTGTCATTCTGAGACTATAATGAAACCCTAAATGGAAAAATGGCCGGAAATTCTATAGAAACATTTTGTTACTTTTGCTTGCCTTACAGAGTGTTTCATTAAGTTTATTAATTCTTAAGGCATTTAATGTATTTTCTTGAATTTTGTTTCTTCTCTAACATTTTCTATACGAAGTTTTATCTATTGAATATTGATATAAACTAGTCTAAACCTTGTAAAAGTGACACTAATCTTTAGTGTGGCAGTTTGCGGATCAGAAGCTCCAAGATTCGAGCCTGCGTTGTGCCACTGAACGCTCTGCAATTTCAAATGTGGGTGTGTTATAAAAGTGACAGTCAGTCCCGATGTTCGGGAAAGAGTCGTGTAGACGTTGAATGTAGCTGCCGATAGATGTAGTCAGGGTGGTTCCGAGTTTTCGCCCACCCGAAATTTTATAGAATATATTTTTCTTTATTTTTATTCTCTTGCTTTAAACATTTTTGTGGAATTACAAAGATTCCCCCGACCTCAGCCATCACGATTTTTTTTTCTGAACACAGTACTATTGATGCTTGCCCTCACCCCTCTAACAAAATAGTCATGCCTGAATCTTGGAGTTTCTGATCTGACCGTTTAGCCCATGTGGTACATAAAATGCCGTTCAGGCTGAAAATACCAAATATAATTTTTAAAAATGTCTCATATATTGTAAAAACTTGCCCCTGTCATAAGATGAAGTAACGATTCCCTTTTTAATGATGGTGATAACATACCTTACTCCCTCTATAATGGTTGTGATGTTATAACTATGAATTATATGGTTGAACTTGGCCTATAGGTTAGCGTACTAAACTGTTGATTCGTGGTTCGTTTCTCATAGCTGAAAAAAATTGTGTCCCGCACTTTGGCGCTGAGGGGGCTTTATAAGAGTGAAGGTAAAATCCAACTATTGATTAGAGTAGTTAAAGGCATAGCAGTGGGTGTTGTTGACTAGCTGCCTTCCCTCTAGCCCATCAGTTCAAAATTAGTGATGATAGCCATTGTGTATCTTCGCAACAAAATTTTATTGGTGATGGTGATGATGCCGTAACGACATAAAAACCCATTCAATAAGGATTGTTAACGTAAAACGTACTCCTTCTTCATTGATGGCCATGATGTAGCTACTCCTATTTTAGCACTACTTGTTTTATATTTAAGGTGATGGCACAGCATAGAATGCTCACTGTGTATCTTTGTGCTCTTCGACCCTCGTAATAAGAGCTAGCAAATCTGCTCTCACGTTTCAACGGAATGTAATGAAACTTTATAGAACCATTGCAGTAAACACTCACAGGTCTTTACCTCTGACGTACTGACTGATATATGTCCCGGATGCAATTAAAAGGTTGGAAGTTTTACCTTTACAAAACACGATATCAACCGTATTATTTTTATTTCATCGTAAGAGAATCCCAAGGATTCGTATGTTTACAGCCTTTATATTTAACTTTATTTACTCATATATTTGCTAAGGGAAATGCTGGATAACTTATAAAAATATATATTTCACCACATGAAATCTATCCTACATAATGTAATAAATGTTTCACAAAATTTTGTACCCATCGGGCAAGTATAATAAACTTGCCATGAATTTAACTGATGATCTATTATATATCACATTTTAATAAATCTTCAAGACTTGGGTATTTCGTAATAGATTAACTGATTTAACTTGTATGGTTTAGTATTTTCACTAAAGTTTCTTCTCTCCAATTCTAGTAGACGTTATAGCTTGAAATTAACACCAGACATTACAGTATTTAAACTTATTTCGTCTTAATTTCTTTCATCATTCTTAATTAATTTATTTCTTATGGCATATATAGTAGTGCTTCTCCCCAAGGTCGATATAAGGTCTTAGCTTTTTCATTAGTTGTTAAGTCATTGATGTCATATTCCGGAGGTGCTGCCATCTTGTGGATGTGGATTTTTAGCTGTGTGGGCGCATTTATATATATATACTTTCATGTTTCTTTATTTTTCTTCTAACCAATAAAATGGCGATTTATGTGCCTGTTCAACCATATTTTAAGAAAATAATCTTTAAATGCTAAGTTTACTTTTTTGTATTCCATGCGCGTACACGCTTGCTTGCGTATAGTGTCTCAAGACCACGTTTTAATCAGTGCTGTAAATAATTGTTGCTCATGGGTGGGTGTTAGAGCATGGTCTGATTGTTTTTTTTTTTTCTACGCAGTACCATTTTTCATGATTTTTCGCGACATAAATGTACGTTTTTAACATTTCATTGAAGTAGATCTGACTAAAGTACAGAAACATTAAAATTTCTTTATCTCTTTAAAGATGCCAATCCACGAAACAGGGGTATATTTCAATAAATAACGTTTGGGTATGCGTCATCTATTAAATATCTTTTGTTTATGTGTCACGTATTGCACCAGCACGTGCATGTCTAGGTTATAACATGATTGGTTGGTGAATGTGTAGGTCATAAACTCAGGAACAGGTTTTATTTCAATGTATTTTATTTTACTTGAATATTTTATAATATTTAACCTATATCGCTATAAATGCCTCTATCATTTTTCTTTTCCCAATGCCTTTCTTTCTAGAAAAAGTATTCTTTTATGTATTTCACGATAGTCTAAGAATTTGCCAAAACATCACTGAAAAAGATGAGACCCACCAGGACTTAGATATAAAACTTTATTTTCCGTATAAATATATTTCACTGAGATACTCCTTTTGAATTTTACATGATAAAGATACTGTTTAAATCAAAGGAGAAATATATATTGAACAGCCAAACGTTCAACAAAGCACGTTTTCAGTAGCATTTCTAAATGCATCCGTATAGTAACAAGTTTGCAAGAAATGGTCTTTCACAAACCATATTGATCAAGAACATGAAGATGCGAGATTTCAACATGCACGACAAAAAAAGCAGCACCAACGTACTTTTCTTCGCTTGACAGTATGCATGTCTACCTTCTTCCACAGACATACCTATCTATCTATCGGACATTTTATTTGACAAAACGGATGCAATAAGCTTGCGCATATACCTTCGTTTGATGACATTTGTATATATATTTATGAATATATTATTCCATTCTGCCCAAAAATTTAGCAGCGCTTGTCAAGTCTCAGCTGAATAATGATAAATGTGTTTGAATAGATCAGTTTCGAAACTTTAGAGCATAGACGAAACTAAATAGAAACAACAAATTCGTGATGCTTCTTTATATCGCAGGAGGGCAGGGTTAAAAAAAAAGAGACTAGTCTTAAATCTTGTAGCGCATACCGAAGTATTAATATAATGTCCGTGAAAGCAAACGACCATTAATTTCAGGTTCATACTGAAATTTTAGACAGCAAGTAAAGTTAACCAAGTTCTCTAGAGTTAATAGTTATTTATTTTCACAAAATTCCCAATTTTCTTTCGGAAGGTAGAGTTTCGGTTGCCCTTAATGCAGTCTGAAATAGAGTTTTGTCTAAAGAGCAGGATTTGGGCTGCCTATAGTAGAGTTACAGAGAACTACAGATCTGCCTGGAAAGCAGAAATTTGGCTGTCTGTAGCAGAGTTACAGAGAACTACAGATCTGCCTGGAAAGCAGAAATTTGACTGTCTGTAGCAGAGTTACAAAGAATTACAGATCTGCGTGCAAAGCAAGATTTAGGCGGCCTGTAGTAGAGTTACAGTGTATTTTAGATCAGCCTTGAAAGCAGGATTAAGATATCCTTAGCGAAGTTACAGCGAACTACTATTTTTTCCAGAAAGTTGAGTTTGGAATTCCTTAACGAAATTACAGAGAACTATCGCATCTCCCGAAAGCAGGATTCGGGTTGCCCTTTGTGGAGTTAAAAAAACTAAAGTTTTGTTCAGATGGCAGTGTTTGGGTTGATGTTAGCATAGTTATAGAAACTTTAATTTGGTCCAGAAAGCAGGGTGTGGTTTTTCTTAGCGGAGTTACAGAGAAATGTAGTTTTGTTCAGAAAGCAGGGTTTAGTTTGTCCTCAGTGAAGTTAACGCTGATGAAGAAGAGTATTATGACTGGGAAAAAACGACACAAGTTTAGTGTTAATGATAATCCAGCCTACCGTATTTTAATGTAGCTCGTGTTTTCTCATGCTAGATGAGGGTTTTGTAATGAAATATACTCTTAGAAGAAACATATTTTTTTGTTTTATTGGATTAGCTGTTTTGTAGGTTACTATACAAATTGTACAGAAAAGATATAAAAGACGACTTTAAAGATTTGTTTAAAGATGTTTGACGTACGACATGGTAAAATAACATGGCCAGAAGCCGGTATTTTGAAACAACGTGACTTACTGGGAAAACATATTTTCGTATGGCAAGGTCTTTTAACATCTGAACTCTAAGGATTTTAGCATCTAGAACGACTTTTATAACAATGTTGCTATACCAGAGCTTTCAAAGCTTTAAGCAAGGTAGTAATTGCGGACATTAGATTTATGGAACATTATTTTGTAGTTATTGAAATTCCTTGAAGATTTACTGAGTATTTTAAGAATTACACCATTTAAAGTTGAATTAAGTTTTTACTTCGGAATTGAGTTACTATTAATTATAGACGAATAAACACATTTTGTTCTTTGAGTTATACGGAAAACATATTTTGATTCATTATTTAATTTAATATAATTAAAATATATCTTACTAATTTCATTTTGTCGACTAATAAGCATTTCGTTCTTATAACAGGCATCGTCATCAAAGCTGGATCCAGGGTTTGTTACTGTACCTTGATGCAACTCGTTATGTCCATTCATAAAACGTGAACTGTTTTCCACAATGTGGTTTGACCAAAGGTCGAGATTAAATAATGGAGTTGACACACGTGTCAACTGGTGGCAGCGGCTGCTTCCTCTGTTGTGGATCTTTATATTAATCAATGGAGAAGAATTATTTCAGTTTACGCGACCAGTGTACAACACCACCATTCAAGAAAATCCTGTCGGAAAAGTATACGTCACTCCAACAGAGAAAATGGGTATTTTCATCTCTGATTCTTTGCTTCGAGTGCAGTACGTTATTGTAGATGGAAATAAGGACCATTTTTTTGTAGCTGAAAGTCAAAAAGTAGGTGATTTCTGGTTCCTTCGTATTAGAACGAGTACAAGGATTCAAGTCGCCTTGAACAGAGAGTCAAGGGAGTTCTACATTCTTCACGTAAAAGCTGTGGTTAACTCAAATGTTTTAGAAAACGTAAACTTTAATGCTCAAACTGAGGTTAACATTAAAATCTTGGACGCTAATGATTTGACTCCATTGTTTTACCCATCAATTTATACAGTCTCAATTCCAGAGAACACCCCATTGCATCAAAGTGTAGCGAGAGTTAGTGCTGTTGATCCTGACATTGGCATAAATGGTGAAATTTACTACAGTTTTCAAAATCAAACATTCCAGTTTGCTATTCATCCTACTACAGGGATTGTCACTCTGACTCGACCGTTGAATATTGAAAAGCAGACTCACTATGATTTGACTGTCCTTGCTCAAGACAGAGGACCCAAGCCGAAATTAGGGGCCATTGTGAAAAAAAGTTCGTCTTCCTTGAGAATTGTAGTGAGTGCTGTGAATCAGCACCCCCCTGTGATTCACTCAGTTACTCTCCCCGCCATCCTGAGAAACGACCTCTTACACGTTTATGCTATTGTTCGCGTGGTTGATAAGGATCGTGGTTTATATGGACAGGTTCGCAGTGTGGATATCGTTGATGGAGATCCTTTTGAATACTTCCAAATCAGTAAGGGAGAACATCCAGATGAATACTCCATCACCATTTCTGAAAATCTCCAACATGCAAGTGTAACTAGTCAGTTTAATCTTACCATAAAGGCCACAGACAAAGGTATTCCACCTAAATCTTCACTAAAAACTGTACCCGTAAGAATTCCTCACTATGATGATCGGCCTCTGGTATTCGATTCGCCTAAATATTTAACATCTGTAGAAGAGATTGCACCACTTAATACGCCCATCGTCTTAGTTAAAGCAAGTCACCCCGATGGGAATAAAGATATAAAAATATGGTACAAAATAGAAGACGGAAATCCATTTGACACCTTTACCATTAATCCCTTAACAGGACTTATAACAACTGCAAAACCTTTAGACTGGGAGAAGACTCCTAGATATTTATTATTGGCCAGTGCCCAAGAGCAGAATATTAACGGACTTAAAAGAAAAGGAACCACGATGGTTTATATTAAGGTATTAGATAACAATGATAATAATCCTATTTTTAATTCAACTTCTTTCATAACAGTTCACTTTGAAGAAAATAAGCCAATCGGGAGTGTTGTGTACACGGCTCATGCTTCTGACCCTGACGATGGAGACAATGGTTACGTATCTTATCATCTAGCCAACATTAACTATGTGCCTTTTATCGTAGACCACTTTACTGGCCAAATAAAAATCAAAGAAGTCCTGGATTTTGAGACCATGAGAACAGAGTACCTCCTAAAAGTTTGGGCTTCTGATTGGGGAACACCTTTCAGAAGGCAGTCAGAAATTTCAATCCGAGTTCTGGTGACTGATGTAAATGATCACAGACCACAGTTTGAAAAAGTCGATTGCGTGGGCTTTGTTTCTAAAGCAGCTCCCGTTCCAACAGAAATTTTAACTCTTTCTGCTCTAGACTTTGATGCAGATAGTTCAGTGACATATAAGATGATTTCTTCAGAGCAGGAGCTCTGTTTTGAAGTAAACACCATTACAGGAATATTAACATTGACTTGTGACCTCAGTCAACGACAATTCACAGAGTGTGTTATTAACGTTTCAGCTACAGATGGGCAGCATTATGCAGATGTTGTTGCTGTTACGATAAAGGTTGTCGATCTCCAACAACGCTCTAGATTAAACAACAAGAATGTCGTAGTGGAATGTAGAGATAATGGCATTACGAAGAAACTAAAAGAACAAATCGCTGTTGCTAAAAGGAACAATCAGGAAGGACTGGACGACGTCACTGAGGCTACTCCTTCAAGATATGGCGAGAACCTACACAGTCCTCAATTCTGTAGTGGCCTACCCATGGAAATTACTGCCAAGGAAAACCTACTAGCTGGTACCGAACTTCTGAGAATCTCTGCTGAAGACCATGACCATGGCTATAATGGGAAATTGGTGTATGTTATATCAAATGGAAATGAAGATAGTTGTTTTGAGGTTGAAATGCATTCTGGAAAACTCCTAATCATTAATGAGCTTGATCGAGAAAGAACAGCAAGATATGTGCTTAACATCTCCGTGTTTGATCTTGGTCAACCACCTCAATCTGCATCTACAATTTTAGAGGTCATAGTAGAAGATGCTAATGATAATGTACCTACCTTTGATAGATTCGCTTATGACTTTATTATACCTGAGAATGCACCAAATGGGATGACTATTGCGAAGCTTGTGGCTTCTGACGCAGATTCTGGACCAAATGGACACTTGATTTTTTCATTGGTTACTGATACTCAAGACTTTTACATTGATAAGATCACAGGAATGTTGTCTGTTCACGGGCCTTTAGACAGGGAACGGACCGAATATTATCAGCTCAAGGTCCAAGTATCAGATTCTGGCTCTGAAGTAGTTTTCTCATGTGACACTTTGGTGAGTATTCAGGTTCAGGATGTCAACGATAACTCTCCTCATTTTCCCATTGAACATTACCTAGTTAGGCTTCGAGAGGATATTCCAGTAGGTTCTGTGATAATGAGCTTATCCGCCACTGACCCTGATCTTAACGAAGCAGGAACTGTGCTTTATGAACTACTGAACGACATGATGGGAGTGTTTATTATTGATAAGGAGATTGGTATTATTCGACTGAATCGTCAATTAAATTATGAAGAAAGACAGATTTATAACTTAACAGTTGTAGCTAGCGATCTGGGTATCCCCATGCGATCATCTAGTGCTTACCTTCTGGTGGAAATAGAAGAAATAAACGTAAATAATAGAGCTCCAGTATTCCAGGATCATGTTGCTACAGGATCAGTGATTGAAAACCAAGAAGAGGGAACGTTTGTGATGCAAATTAAAGCCACTGATGATAAGCACGAGAATATTGATGACAAAGTAACGTATTTTTTGGAAACGGAAGAAGGAACTGGTCTATTCAGAATTGATCAAAAAGGTATGTTTTTTCATATTGTTGTATGTAACAAAATATACGTTACTTGTTGTTGTATGTAATAAAATATACGTTACTTATTGTTGTATGTAACAAAATATGCGTTACTTATTTCTTGGAAGAAATGTTTACATTAATGACTAAATTATGTAAAGAAAACCATTGTTCCACTTGTTACCTCTGTAATATATCATTTTTCATTTTCAAATACAAAAGCAAATCATAGTACTAATAGCATATTTCCAATTTTCTTTAATATTTGTTTAAACAAAATATGTAACATCTTTTCTTTGTAAAATAGCGTCTGCATGAACCATAAAGCGTACTTTTAACCTCTGGCTGTACAACTGAGATCTTATTAACTGTTCAAATGTTTGTTAATTGTTGGCGTTTTTTGATAACTTTTATTTCTGACGTCCGCTCAAAACTGTTGATAGCATATAAGTGAATGAAAACATTTGTAAAGATTGATCGTGGGACCTTCTAATATCTATTGATTTTGTGTGTGAAATTAAAAAGCCAGACATATATTCGACGTGCATATATAGATTCAATTTATCTTAGTCGGAGAATGTAAGTAGCAGATGTTCAATTGATTCGATCAGGTAACTACACTTGTTTCATTTAGTCTCTTAGACGAATTCCAGAATTATGTTTTTTTTTCTGTCCACTTCCAATGTAATTTTTAATTACAATAACTCAGTGTATAAAATTTGAAAATATTATCCTACTCCCTTTTTTACGAATAAGCCGCTCTTCTTTCTAACTTCTCGTGATATATGTATGAAAAAAATCATGTAATATCCGATATTTCCGTTTATAAGAAAAATACATTATCTTGAATTCTTTCACAATACTTGGTTTATTGGACAAAATCTCAAGCGTTTCATTGGTTTACGTCTTGTCACCTGCTGAATCTTACTGATCTTTGTGTTCGCTTTTCTCCGATTCTCTACTGATCCTATGTTATCGTATTCTTGTCCTTATGAGCGAGACGAAAGTAACAAAAACGTATACGAAAGGAACGACTTTTTAGACTAATGCGATCGAATATCATATACAAGTTTATTCTGTAAAACAAAAAAACGGTAGACATCAAAATATCTGATCAATGCGTCTTTTCTTAAGCAAGGTAAAAAGTCAGGTTTATTCGCAGTAAAGCATCAATAATAAAAGTTGTTTTAAAACCATAATAGTAAATGTTTAAGAAATAATACGAACAGCTGAAAATAATTTAAATCACACGACTCCTTGCCGACCAAGTAAGCTTTTTATAAAGAAAAGAGTATGACGGTTTTTTAACTTGTTTGTTAAGTTGTTGTATATCACAAACGTTGGCAGAAGAATGCAACTAGCGAGATATAATTGATATGGTATTACACATTCTTCTTGTGGGAAAGTTTTGGGCCGTTAAAGAATGATGTGATTCAGGATATTATCAGACTAATGTTTGAAATGTATTACCACGCATACTCTACTACTACACTTGATGCTCCACCACCGAAGGTGTTGTACGCCTTAAGACAGTGTCTACCGCTGTTAATTCCCCAAAGCATTGCTGAAATGACTCTCGCGTGACTACAACTTCCATCTTTTTAAGGCCTTTCCTTTGATTTTTTTTTTACTTGAGTCATCTGTAATTACTACTCATCCGCTCATTGTACACAACATTTATAATAACTTGTAAAAAGCCAGAAGTGTAAAAACCATTTGGCTGAAGGTTTGCTTATTATATTAATTTATATAATATGTTAATATAAAGAATTCTGCTTAAAGCTTTAGTTGGCTGATGCAAATAACGATTTGTGATTTGAAGCGCTTTTTTTTTGTACACTACTATCTAACTCATTTTAAGCTTAGAATATTAGATGTTGTATCAGCGGAGATTTTAGAAAAGTCATGATGTGATTTGTTGGATATATTTGGTTCCAATTGTTTTTTCATGACAGTTTATTTTACTTTAAGACTGTATTTAACTGATGTGTAGCGAACTTGAAGCAAGGTACGCCAGAGATAAATAAAAAATAACGTGTTGGGTGTGGCTTAGTGACTAGCGTGCCGAGCTGTGAATCCGAAGGTTTATGGCTCGCTTCCCGTTGTCGCAGAATCCACATTTCGAAGAAGTGCGTGTATTATAAAGAGTGACGATAAAAATCTACTATTCGATTATAGTTGGTGGTGGTGACAAACTGCATTCCATCTTTTGTATATAGAGCTCTTTTGTAACTTCACGCGAATATACGAAACAATTAAACACACACAAAGGAAACGAAACCGAAACCAAAACAAGGCTTATGATCGGAAAAACACGAGATTTTAAGTTGTAATGTATACATAAGAAATCAACCTGACAGGAGTTGAATCATTTCTAAACTCGGAATATCTTGATATATGATGGTTCCGGTTATTTATGTTATCTATTTAAAGACAGCTTCAATTGGCGAATACATATGCACTGTGTTTGGAAAGTATCGATCAGATGGCGAGAAATTAAAGCTTCATTTACAGTTTATTACCCCCTCTGTATACTGCACGTATCCAAGTTGTTACAATGTTTCTTACTTAGTAATATAGGATTAAAATATAGTCATTATCGTGATAATATTTCGTTCGAAAGGGATTATATCTGAAATACATGTAGACTAGTATTATGCCTAAGATACGAAAATGGATATGGATATCATGGTAAGAATATTTTTATTCGTGCACAAGCAATCAAAATAAAGTCACTGCTTTAAAAACTGACGTTCTACTCATACCTAAGAAAACAAAAACAAAAGATCAAAAATTATCGTGTGCTTGATTTGAAAATGTCAAAGTTTTATTATCAAATAAATAGAATTTAAAAATTATCCGTGATAATAAATCAAAAAAGGAAAATCATAAATAATGAGATTTAAGATAAACTTAAAATATTTTTACACATAAAAAAAAAGAGAGTAAAAAAGATGAAGTGCTGACCAGATGCACATATTAACTCTATCGTCACGGCCGGGTAAAAATGTCATGACCTCTTATACTATTAGATTCGCAATTTAATTAGACCTCTTATTAATTAATGTATATCAATAAAAGTTGCATTAAAACGTAGTTTATACTCCAAATGTTTATATTACATAAGCTGTAATTTGTTAATTTAATGAAAATAAATACGTTTGTTTGTTGGTTTTTAATTATGCACAAAGCTACACAAGGGATATCTGGGCTCTGCCCAACACGGGTATCGAAACCCGGTTT